CTGAAATGTTGTTTGGTATTTGTTAATTGATGTCCTTGGTCCTGTCAATGAGATGCTTGTGAGAGTCTAAATAAACGGTACTCAGTAGCCAGAGACCTTTACCTTTGTAAACTGTGTTTGGGAGAGATGCATAACTGTCAAAGGACTTTCCTGACCATGCATATTGATGCGATTATGCAGATATGTCTCTGCTTATTGCTGGGAGGCTCATGAGGCTCTCATGAGACTACAGTATAAAGAAAACCATTGATGTACCAGCACAATAAATCAAAGAGTAGTCCAATAACAGTCACAACAAGGAGCAGCAGCTACCATCAGCAGAGTAACCAAAGAGAGCAATTGTAATTCTTGTTACTGAACAGAGACTGAAGGAAAAGTGAAAATAATAGTTTCCAGGGAATATAGACATATGATGTGGGTAGGATTTAGTGCCTGCCAGGATTTGTCACCAATTACTTTTGCGCATGCTGTAAGGGGGAACCCTATTGCTCTATTTTATTATTAAGCACTGTGATATCACTTTTCCCTAGTTTCCTCAGGAAGGGCTTAGAAGAAGAGACCCTTTCTCTAATAGCTGTATATACAATCAGTTACAGAAGCTGACAGCTCTTGATATGATTTCTACATGGGCAGTTTTTGAGAGAGGTTGCTAAATACATTCTTCTTACTCAGGTTTTCATCTCCAATATGTGAGGGGAAAAAACAGATAATAAGCAGCTATTCTGCACATACGTCAGAAATCTACATTTGATGACACCAGCTACAAGATTTCATGTCTTCTCTAAGCCTACTTTATCTTACATGCCAAATACCATGATACAGCCAAGTAAGCACATTCAAAGCATACAATCAATTCATCAGTATTTAAAAATTCTTGTTTATCTGGGTATTTTATGGAGTTTGTCATCTTTGATGTGAATAACTTAAGCATGTATACTTCTAAGTTGCCTCCTGAAAATGTTCTAGTAGTTAAAAAAATAGTAGTATCACCAAAGGGGATGAGGGAGAATTGATTTTTAAATGTATATGATCATTTCCAGAATATACTTTTCAATATTTCTTTATCTTGAATAATAGTACATGTATTCAAAACACTGGAAACAAATATAACAGCATCATGTTATGTTCCTTTATTTTGTAGGCTTGCTAGATTGGTTTACCATGCTCATTTTGTAAGAATTTATGTTTTAGTATATGTGAAAAAAATAGGGAGTAAAGAAACGGATTCATGCAACATATGTTCAAACAGGGTTTGCTGGTACAGACAGCGGTGTCCAGGAGTTCCATTTACTGACCCCTTTTGTCTGATGGACTTGTAAAATATTTTTAAGCTTGTTGATTGTCTACTAAACAATAATGAAAACACTTCCTACATAATGTGGAATTAAGGACAGAAACTTGAGGCCCTCATGGGTCCGTGTAGCTCTCTGGGGACTAGTGAAGCAGAAGATTCAAGTAAAATAAATAAGTATAAATATGAAAACAAAGCCTGTACTTGTTTGTAGGAGATAAAACTTCATAAAAATAGTTCTTAAATGTTTTATATTTTGGTATATGGACATCCTTCAAGATTGCATTGGCTAAGTGTAAGTAGTACAAATATAGAAAATTGCTATCTAGTAACTTTATTTAAAAATATGATTGGATTCCACAAAATTTTAACTAAACCCAGGAAAAATACCTGCCATATTATTTTTAGGCATTGAGAGACTGGTAGAACAGGTATCAACATCAAAGAGAATGCTTAGCAGTCAAGAAGGCCAGAATTTAAACAGAAGCAAAGTCGTGGCAATATCTGGACAAAAAGAAATACCAGGATTTTAAAACTTCTGTGAAATTGTTCATTGGAAAATGTTTAATTACCTAAGACTTTAAACTGAAAAAGCTGAGAAAAATTAATCCCTGTGAAACAATACTCTGGGAAATGCTGGTAAGTCTATGTGAAATCAAAAAGGTATCCAATCACTTCTGTAGTTTTTATTGATCGTGCTTAAGAGATGCTTTCTCTGAAGGTCAGCATACTGCAGCTGTGTATTAAAAGCACCTTTCACCACTCTTGACTCTTCACAAGAAAGGTATATAAAATGGGCAAGTAACATTTTATAAAATATTTACAATGCAGTTCACATGAAAGCAGGGCACTGAAAGACTACCTGACAATGATCAAGAAGGTGCAGTGAATGCATGTGTGAATACTGAAATTCAGAGTAGCTGAACTGTGCTTCCCAGAAATTCGGTGTTCCTGCACTTTTCCTCTGGAGGAAGCTCCCTTTGACGCCAAACCAGTACTCTGGGGTTCAGGCTGAGATCTGTACAGGCTTGAGGACTGGGATGTTGCTGTTGGCACAGACATCTCAAGTGATGGAAGACGTTTACTTAAATGCCTATCAACATTTTTGTACATCTTGTTTTTAATCCATGCCTTTGATAGTACTCAAAATTGAGCTGCAGCAAGAACATCAGAACATGGAAATTTGTTCTAGATTTCCTGCCAGGTATGTGAATTATGCTGAACTCCAGGAGACTGGGATGGAAAAGTTTCTGCAGGTTTCTGTGGTTTTAGGCCACTAATCATAGGTGATGGAGAATAAGGTATTAAATGTGGTGTCATGACTCAGATGACAGGATATTTTTCCTTTGTCATAAATGAGACATGCCTTTTCTCCACTGTGTTTGTTCTCTCCCTAATGCATATATATTCTGCTTTCTGTATTACTGTCAAAAATATAATGTACTGTTGTAGGAGAGTAGGTTATTAACTCATCTGGGATATGGAAATGCTTTTAATTTTAGAAGGTATGTTTAATAAAATTGCATCACTGGCAGAAACATTTGTGTGATACTATATTGTGTTTATTAGACAAGAAAAATCTCTTTGCATTAGGTTCAAAGCCAGAAATTGATTTTCAAAGGGACTGGGCGCCGAAGTTGCTTAGATATTTTGCAAATCCCACTAGGCCTCTGTTTGCAGCTTTTTGGCACCTAAATACCCTTGAAAATCTGGCTCAAGAGTTGTTACAGTAACACAAAGGAATAATAAGTTATGTTTTTCATGCCAGAAGGATTTTACTGGCACTGAGCATCTTGATGTTACACTGGGGGAAATTATATTTACATGTTTGAGAGCACTGAATTAATTATAACATAAAATGAGACTTTGTTTAACATATGTAAAGAATCTGTTCTCAAATACATTATTACTTGTAGGGCTTGAGATAAAGTAAAGCCTTTTACCAAGCCTAGGAAGGCTGTAAACAGGGAGGTGGCCAGTGTTCAGTTGTTCATTAACAGTCTGTAAAACAGACACAGAGAAACCAAAAGTGATTGCGAAGCCTTAATGCCAGACCCATCACTATTAACTTTTTTTTTTCCTACCTCTATTCTTTGGCTTAAGCCTCTTAAAGGCAGCTTGTCTGTTTTCCAGGCCCTATGTAAATAGCTTGTATAATTTCAAAATAACCTTGAAATTATTTATTTTGACAATTTTAATGTTATGAATTGGAAAGAGGAATAGATATTTTGGCTCCTGGGTTATCCTTAAGCAAGGGAAGAAATGAATGGAGTCTAGTCTATGTACAGAACTATGTATATATTTTCTTCATGACCTTGGGAAGATCCCGGAGCTGAAAGCTCTATATTAATTTTTGATGGTTAGTTTGATTTCTAATGAAAGCTCTTACTTTATATCTGTGATAATACAGTTGCAGCAGCAAGAGCTATAGGTCTGGGATATTGTCTGTAATATAATTTAATTTTAAACTTGTGTCCATAATTACAAGAATGATGTTTTGACTTATTTTTCTGTAACTCAGATTGTATATCCATCTGTCATAAAATGACTGAAAATAAAATGGGTAGATCTGACTTAGGCAGGATTTTCCACCTTGCTTCCTCTCCTGAACATGAGCAATGAGAATTGCAAGAGATAATGTTTCTGACACATTCTGAAGGACTGGTAAAATCCAAATACTCTGCTACACCATAAATAAAAATCCAACTTGGCATGGAAATGGGGATATTTACCACTGAAATGGATTTGTGCTGAAATAGGTGCACATGCGGTAAACCTGGTTGGTTGCACACACTTTGCTCTGATGGTAATTCAGGGTGATACCTATCTGGATCCAATACAATGTCTGCAATAAATTTTAGCATAGTTCTCTGATGACCAATACCCCATTCTCAAAAGAGGATGGTACCTATCCTCAGTAATCTCTTCTGCAGTTGTTTGGAGGTCACTGGGTGCTTAAAAGCAGCAGTTTCCCTACTATACGTGCCACAGATAGCAGAACATTCCAGGGCAAATAGCAGAAAGCAGTGTTGGCAATGCATGCCAAAGATATATCTAAACACAACTCTAATGCTTTCTCTTTGCCTTTCATTGCTTTAGTATCAAAACAGCAAAGAATCTCTTTTATTGTAATTTTAATTTCAAAAGCATATTTTTATTTGTTTTCTTAAAAAAAAAACCCTATCCCTTTTTAATCAAACTAATTATACAGAAGTGGCAATTTTATGGGCTATTGTACAACATATTTGTATACTGGTTTTTAGTTGTATTCTAAGGCATAATTCCTAGCTAAGAATAGGAAGATTTTTTTTTTTTTAACAATTGAAAATTAATGTGCAGTTTGGAAAAGTGAGATTTGGAAAATATATGAAAGCAGAAGTTGATGGATCTGTGCTATTAAACCAGCTGAAAACCTGGTTGAAATTTTGAGATAATTTTTCAATGATCAATATTATTTGGATAATGTCTTTACAGGTAATGGCTGTTTTAAGGAACAAAGGCAAAATTGCACCTGTCAGGAGAAGTTCGGTGCACTAAGCCCCAGCTGGTAGAAAGCAAGTGATGTTTCTGCTTGTGTAGCACCTGGTTTTGATTTCAGAGGGGAGACAAGACAATTACTTCAATGGGTGGTGACATTAAATACAGCTGCTGCCTGGCAGAAAGCTGTTTTCTGCGTTTTACCCAAGTGCAAAAACTTTTACCTCACATCATGAATAGGATCAGAGCTCCAGCTGTATTTTCCCAGAGGAAGAGACAGAAAGGGATGCATTCCCCAAACCTTTCATGCAGTTATGAAATAAAGTTCAGTAAGTTTGTAATTTTTATTATGCAGAGGAAGATGGGGATGACCAGAAGGATGTTTCTGATGGAGCTGGCAAGAAGGAAAGGTTTCAGAGTAGAAAGTGAACTAAGGTAGGAAAATGTTTATATGTGTAAAAATAACATATAGTAATGCTGCTTGAAACATTCTAGTTTGATTAATGCAGTCATACCAGTGACTGCAGTAGGAGCTTTTGCCTGTGTGTTTGGTGGATATTGCTCTTTCCATCATAAAGATGCTTCAGGAATTCAGTGGGTATGCCTAAAGCGTGGTTCGTTTCTGTTGTCTTCTGGGCAGAGAGCAGGCAACACACAAACATTAGAAAAATTTCTAATTAGTTACTTCTAAAAGCTGTGGTGCTAATTTATCTTAAGGCTGTCAATTTTAATGTGTCTGTGTTCCTTCTTACATGGAAAATAAAAAATGTAAGGTGTGAGCTTGCAGTGTTTTTCATGGGATACGTTTATATGCATTGTGTAGTCTCACTGGAATCAGTGAATCATGTTTTCAGCTGATCTGAATCAACCATTGTTTATTTCCCCCCTAAAGTCAGGTTAAGATTAATCTAAATTACTGGACTATTCCTGAAATGAAAAAAATTAGACATACAGGAATGGAAAATGTAATGGTTGAGAGAGGGCATTTCTGTAGAACATTTCTGGTATCTAATATTTAATCTTCCTATGAGAAACTCACAGCCGTGAGTTTAAAAGTGACTGGCTTACACTTTGGTACAGTCTGGAAGAGCACTGGAGGAAAGACTTAGGAATGAAAAACCACATATGTGGCATTTTGGGGCAAAGATATACTCCAGCTGCAAATTTGTCTGGCGCTGTTTCAGTAAGTCAACTCATGTTGCAGGAAGCCTTCCTCCAAATAGAGCTTTTTGTGAGTGCTAGTTGTATCATTATGCCGTTTTCTGAAAGCTACATCATTATCTGTGTTCTCTGAAAAGCTGGAAGAAAACCAAGTATTGATCACTTATCTGTATCTGTATGCAGATAGTATACAACAGGGTCCTCCCTATAAAAGCTCATTTCCACAGATTTTTCAATCCCATCAACTTGAAAGCCTGAGGAAGAAGAGAGGATGAAATAATTTGTAAAGCAAGATTCAAGCAGGTATTGAACAGAAGTAGGCAATTAGCATCTGATGCAAAACTAATTGAATTCTCAGGGAGAAAAATGAACTGTGCTGTTCTGAATCCTACGTTAACAATCCTTTGAGGACTGAGTAGAGGGTTTATCTGGGTTGCTTTGACACACAGGTATTTATTGCCAAAGTTTCACTTTGTGCAAATTGTATGCAAAACAGGTAATATATGTAATTTCAGCTTAGCTGCTGCTGGATAAAACTATTTCGCTGTTGATTTTTGTTTTGGAAAATGCCAGAGGAAATGCTAAATTTGTTAGGTCCTGTACCAAGAAAAAAGCACGGCTGTACTGGTACCAGAGGAAACTGGTGCACAGCAGCTAAACTGCTGCTGCGAGCACAGTGATGGCAAAGTTCCCAGATCAGCAGCTTGGTACAAATACATTACATATGAATATTTTATATAAAGTGAAATAAACCACAGGAAGCAGAAGTTCTATGTCTCTAACTGATTTTTTTTTTTTCTCATCAAGTAAAGATGTGACAGTTTAATTAAAGTAGAACTTAGCAGGGTTAAATAATGATAAAACCAATAGTATTTCATGGAGATTCACCTAGCATAGATTTATAATCTTATAGATTAAACCAAATTGGGATTTTTTTTTTCCAGTGGACTCCACTCTATAGTTTGCACAATAAGAAGAGAAAAAAAATTTCTAAAATATATTACATTCCATAAGTTTCTTATATTTGCAAAATGTAGTACATTTACTACGTTGGAGAGTTATAAGGTAACAGTTTTTTGTGGGGTCACTCCAGTATTTGTCATTGTGATTAGGCGATTTAATGAAATCAGGGTCACAGAATAGGCCAGGGGATTTTGTTGGTCTCTTAGAAAGTAGTTTGTTTCAAAAGGTTGTGCACTCTGCATTTATAGCACACGTCGTTTCTATAGAAGTCTGTACTAACCAGTTATCTCTACCAGCAGTGCCTTGTCTGCTTGGAAAGGTTGATGGCTTAACTTCTTCAGGTGTTACAGGAAGACTGCAGAGCAATCTGTCAGCTCCATTTGAAATTTGATGTATGTGTCATCAAGGCTGTCACCAGTATGGGCTAGCAGGAGGTTACAGGGGCTTGTGAATGGAGGTGGTGGCCAACAGGGCAATTTATGTTCCAATCCTAGGCTTATTTCTGTAAAACCTAAGTCAAATAATGACACTGGCTATCTCTGCCTTTCTCCCAATAAGTTTAAGAATCTGCTATTGGTTAATTTTGGTGTATATTTCAGAGATACTGAAATCCTACAAGTTTCATGAAAACAAAGAGTTTTCCTCCTTTATCTGTTGTTGTCTTTGTGGGCGAAGGCACCCTGCTTGGGTGTGTGTGGAGCGGGAACACTAAGAATCACTCAAAATTTCCTACCAAGTTAGTAGTTTCCTAAGCATCAGCAGACCAGGTAGAGATTTACAGATCATTCTAAATATGTATGCAATTTTTTTCTTGAAACATGACACTTTGTCCCTGTCCATTATTTTCCTGTGGAAGGTGCAGAACTTTGTCTTTTTCATCATAGAATCATAGAATGGTTTGGGTTGAAAGGGACCTTAAAGATCATCTAGTTCCAACCCCTCTGCCATGGGCATGAACCATCATGGGATTCGTTCCAATTATTCTAGTATACCAACCCAAATTTAGTGTAGTAACCTTTGTGCTACAATATTTTTAAGCAGTGTACACCTTATAATCTATTGAACAATGACTCAATCTCTAAATTTCATATGCGCTAAAATATCAGTTTTGTAAGAGACTGACCTCTTAGTAGCAAGGAAGTGGTCTTTAGATGGAGCACATAATTCATAAATTTTCAGTCCTGAACATCTGACGATGCCTTATGTAAAGAGCTTAATGTAAGTACAGAAAGATATTGCTAGTTGTAAAGCTTTAAAGAATTACTGTTAACAGACTTTTTAATACTGTAAACCTTTATTGATCAGGAATATTGGGAAAGGGATGTCGGCTATGGTAAAGCAGCTTTTTCATTATGGTACTGCTCATGCGAGCCAAACATTTTCAGAGTTGCAAGAAAATGTGTAATAGGTTAGTGTCTTACAGAAGGCAAATGTTACAGAAAGAAAGAAAATGTTGCACTTAGAGGAGCTGTCAGGCTAAAGTCTTTCCTCAAAACAGATTCAGTGACTGGAATAGATATACTGTGATATGAAAATGCAACCGCTTCCAACATCCTAATGTGCAGTATATTCTACAATTTTCAGGAAGTGCATGGTAAGTAAATACGGAAATTGCAGCTCTGTACCTGTGTACATTTGGGTTCAGGAAAAAAAGAAAAGTTATTTTGGTGTATTTTTTGACAGTGATTCTGTCACTCATATTGTGGCTGAGAACAACTCTTACCCGGAGGTGCTGGACTGGCTGAAAAGACAGGCTGTGGGTGACAGCTCCCGGTTTGAACTGCTGGATATTTCCTGGCTCACAGCCTGCATGGAAGCAGGAAGACCAGTTGAATCAGAAATGAAGTATCGTCTCATGGTAAGATAGATCCTTCAGTGCAAATACATTTTCGTTCATAATGAACAACTGTGTATTATTAAATTTTTTTTAAACCTAAAAACTTATATATTTATGTTGTGATATAACCTTTGAGTTTAAAAACTTTTTTCCCTAGAGTTTACATGAGTAATTCGCACAGTTTTAATAGGTTAAAAAGGTCTTCCATGCCTTTATATTAGTGTCTGGTAATCTTAAATTACCATGGCATCATGTTACAAACTATTAATCTACATCATTCCTGTAAAAAAAGGGTGCTATTAAAGGGGAAACATCCATCACTGAAGTACTTGCTGTTGTTGTGGTACTTGTGGTATTTCCACAAATACTTCAACGTCATGAAATGTCCCACTGAGAGCCGTGAGTTTTAATGAGCTCCTGATGGAATACTTTTCTCTTCAAAAAAGTACAAAACCATTAAAACCTTTGCTGTTTAGAAGTGATGAGCTAACTGCCAGGCCCTTGAAGGACCTGTGAAATGAAGGCTGTTGCAATCTGTGGACATGCATTTACAAACTTGGCACCATCAAGCAGAACTGTGCTAAGAAAAAAGGTTTTATGATATTGTATCGTCTCTCAGTGGGAGCCTTAAGCCAGAGGATATTGCAAACGGCAGGCTGATTATTTGGTGAATGGTGTTTGACCTTGAAGCAGTGGACAATGACATATTTTTGTCTGATCTGTATTTGACAAAATTCTATGCTGATTTCTCAAACAGGAGCATAGTGCGAACTGGTGATATTCAATACCCCCAGTACAGCCTGTAAATGATGAGGATGTGGTAGGGATGCCCAGACGTGCTGTGCGCAGGTGTTGATGGCACATGTCAATGGGCTGTGAAATAGACCCTGTGCTGCAGCAGGATGAACCTGTTCCCTTGTTCTTCACGCGCTTGGGCCTCTTGGTGATGGATTTAACGTGCACTGGTGAAGAAATTAATTCATATGTCAAGAAAATTACAAATCTGATCCAAAGCCCTCTGAAGTAAAGTGAGGGATTCCTGATGATTTCTGAGGGTCTACATTAGACTCTGTGTGAACTGCAAAACAGTAACTGGGAATTCCATGGATACTGGGATCATGGCAGGATCCGCAGCATGTCCCTTCCTGTGAGGCAGAGGATGCCTGAATATTTAACAGCAATATTGTGCTGTCTTCTGCTTATATAAATACCACCCTTCCCCAAGAAAAACTGTAGCTCCTGGTTTGCTTTTTCCAGTCATCTTTCATTGCCAGAAACTATTTTGCAGGATTTTACATATAAAAATTACTGTTTAATAAGGCTTCAGGGGTGGGGGGAGGAGTGAGTACGCCAGATGGAGCTGTCACCCTCAGACTCAGCACAACTCCATGACAGAATATGTGTTTATGTTTGCAATTCTTCCAGTGAAGTATTTTTGCAGTATTTTTATAATATTTTCAGTGAATCTGCTGGCAGGAAAATAGACCAAAGAAATTAATGCAAAACAAAACAAAACCAGACCAGGAAACCTTGTAACTACTGTGTTATGTGATCTCACAGGCAAACAGGTCATAAAAATATAAATGCTGGAAAAGCAAAGTTCTCTAAACAAGAAATAACACCAAAACATGAGCAAAAATCTGTGAACTTTGTTGAGAGATACATATCAGAATTAAAACCAAACCAAATTACTCATTATGTACATTCTTAATGTCAGCAGTGTGTGAAGACCTGTTGATTCAGATATCTCAGCAACATATAGTTTCATAGATGTTTCTGTTTGCGTTTTCCTTTTCAAGGCATGAAGTACATTTGTCTTTCTCCACAATGTCTCCAATGATGCTGAAACTTACATTTTTCTTACTTTTTTTTTTTTTTAAATTGGTGAGAAGTATGCTGGAAGTTGAACTGTCTTAGTGTTCGTTTATATATAAAAGTCCTTTTGGAATACTGCTGGAATAGAAACTTCTGAAAAAGGTAGCAGCACAGTCAGGAGATCATTAACATACTTTGACACTGACTCTGCAAATAAGAGCTGTTCTTACTGAAACGTAAAGGTTTCATGCTAATGAATGTAGAGTGCGATAAGCACATCGGTGACAGCTGTACCATTAACTTTAAAGCTTATAGTTAAGACCAGTCTTAATTACATACTGACTTAATTAGATAGTAATAAACATTTTTGTAAACCAGACAAAGAAGGAGAAAGGATTCTAGAAGTTTAGCAAATTTTAAAATAACTTTCTTGTTGCAGTGTCACTATGATTATTTTTTTTTCTGCCTTGAGAAATGGGGAAGGATTGACATAAAGGTTGATTTTCTTTTTAAGTACCAGACCAAACTTGTGCATAATGTAATTTAGTTGGAGTTTCACTGGTGACAAATTTGGTCCATTGTATCAGTCTTGTAAAATGTGAAATGGAAGTGAATTAACAAACCTTGAACTCGGGCTACATCAGAAAGGTTTTGAGGTACAAGGAATGGATTTCAGTGGGGGAATGTTTTGGGTGAAATCTTGTCTATGTGCAGGTTAGTGGTAAAATTCCAATAAATATTAATAGCACTAAGATTTCATCTTTCAGATCTTGCAGTTACTTTTTTAGAAGGTTGTTTTTCATTTGGGACATTTATTTTAATGCATTACTAAAAAGAAATGTCCTTCTCCATGCAAAGCAAGAGTATAAAGTCAGAGTTACAGATCATTAGTTAACATATTAATTACAATTGTGACTAAAGTACCTTTTTCTGTGGTTGTGAATGATCCAAGAGATATACTCTGTAAATCACTAACATCAGAATAAAAGGTTGGGTGACTAGATCTAAGGTGGTCTGAATTATTATTGATTCATTCAGTAACAGTTGACTTTTATAGTTAATAGCCATCATTTAATTTAATAGGCTATGGAAATGTGGTGGCCAAACATACGCTTTAGAGGGAAAGTATTTCTCTGGCAAAGGAACGCTGTTGTCCAGAGACACTTTCCACCACATTCACATGTGCATTCTGGACAATAGCAGGACATGAACATTAATAAGTATGCAAGGCATCCTCACATGCTAGACAGTACTGCTGTTTCCTGGGTAGTGGAAAAGAAAGAGGCAGAGGGAGGCTTTCACAGGGCTAAAAAGATGGGAAGAGAACACTAAGTGGGTTGGCATTCTCAGCAGCTTTAGGAACTGTGTTGTGACTACATCGTCTTCCTTTTCCTTAGTAGGAACACAAAAATTGTTAGTTAATAATTTTTTAAAAAAGGAAGAGAGATTTATTTCATTCAACAAAGGATTTTCCTCCACATCAGGAAACGGAAGTGCTGCATCTTTTGATCCCTTGCCATATCATGTGACAAGCAACTAATATTTAACATTTTCTGGAGTGTCTCACTCTGTTGCCTCATGAAAGAGAGAGGCTCTAACTGATGGAAGAAATCCCTCATACTGACAGTCAGAGTTCTGCAGAAAATAAAATGAAACTTATAAACTGGCTGCCTTCTCTTCATAAAAGGCTGGATATCAGCAGAGTTTATTATTTTATCAGTGCTGTCTGGACTTTACAAAGCTGCTGGTTGTTGAATAATGTGGCCTGACAGAGTGTCTAGTATCTGCACACTTGATTCACTGCTGCTCCAATTTCTCTCTGGTATTTCCCTATGTCATTATAGTTCTTTGTTTGTCTATTAAAAAAATAGTTTGTCAAAGAGCATAGGAGTCCCCTACAAGATTAATTCTGCAACTAAGCCTCCCGGGTGTACAAACTGATGTGAGTGGTACAGGTTGATTTTTCCCACTTATGCCATGCGGAAAATGTCACTGTGGACCAGCAGTGACACAGACTGGTACCACAGCTTGGATCTGGGGCACAAACTCTGACTATCTCTAGCAATTAAGTAGCCTGCACTTTTGGATATTTTTCAGTGTTACCCCTGTGCAGTGTACCATAATTTCATTTTAATGTGGTATAGATTTATCTTTAAAAAAAGAAAAAAAAAATCAATGCTTACAATTTTCTCATATTCATAGTTGTTTCTTAGTACTACAAATTGTTTTAGGTAGTGTGAGTTTCCAGGATTGCTTGTTCTACGTGGTAATTGCTACTTGATGAAACTTTAGGTTTGTCCCATAATCTGAACAAGCAGTATGAATCCTGTTATGCTCTGATGACGATAGGAAAACATCTCTGCAGTTCTCATGCAGGCGTCATAATATTCCCTAAAAATCAGACTGTAGTAGTTACTGTTTGCTTTCAGTTTTGCTGTTGATTTCTAGCCAGTTTCTTCTGTTGCTATATATAATCAAGTCCTATTAATTAAAAGTATAACTATTGCTGATTAAGAAAAATGCTCAAATATCTTAGCTAAGGCAGTAACAGGATGTTTATGTGCCGGTCTATCAACCTCTTAAACATAGAGAGCTTCTGTGTTAATTTTGCTTTCTTCCACAGTGCCAGGTAATGCTACATGTAGGGTTCTTGTTCTTTGTGTGTCTATGTCGTAATGAAGATAATAGCTTATTATAAATTCTATTCAGTAATGTTCTGTTTGTTCACAGTCTCTGCAGCTGGCACTATCATTTCAAGCAGTATATTAGCTGTAATCAATCATAGTTTATGTGATCTAAAATAAATTTTAAAGTATAATTCATGAATGTGTGCAAAAGTGGGTGAGTAGTGCTGTTGATCCTGGCTGAAACCTATTTTGGTTATTCCCAGGAGTGGTCTTACACATAAAATAGCTTCCTTCCTTTCAGTGTATACCATGAAAACTGTCACATAATTCACTGCTCCTTTAGCTGTGCGAGCAAACGATTTTTGTGTGTGTGTGTGAATACTATTATTTAACTACTCTGTATCAAATAGAAATGCAATTTAGCATGAAATTGTATGTGTGTGGGGGTGTGTGTGTGAAGGCACAGGCACATTTATAGGTTTGCCTAGCACAGATACTTTATGTCTGCATGTCTTTGGATACAGGGGAGAAAGGGCTCATCATTCCATTGTTTGGCTGAAAATTTCCTCTGTGTATCTTTGTGATATTTTTGTTGTTGTTGAATCATTTCCCTGTGGCTTTTGAATAGTGCAATGCAATACGTTTTTGACAGATCTGCCAAATATTTTCTGGGAAAATGACAAATAGCAAAAAATATATAGAAATTCTGAGAACGCTTTAGGTGTTTCCAAAGTATTTGTTTTGGACACTTTCAAAAAAGCAAAGGAATTAAAGGCCTGGGCATATAAAATAGCAGAAAAGTTGTTGCCAGGTTCTCTTTTACCAGTTCCTCACTGGTCAGGACAGTTGCATGTTAAGGACTCATGCTTAGGACTCTGCTAATGGGGAATTATAGAAGAGTTCCTTTCCTAACCTGCTACAGAGACTGTCTGCAGACTTTTTTGTTGATCCTTGTTGATTTTGCATGGAACAAAATTGGGTGAAAAGCAAATAAGCATGTAAGGTAGCCTGGTGCTTGGGAAACTTGCATTTAAGAATTGGCACCTAGCTCCTTTTCCTGGCTCCTGTGAATGCCTAAAATGATGTCAGAATAGGATCAGTGTGTACAGAAAGGGCTGAGTGAGAAGCCACATCATAAGGTGAACGGTGACTGGTCTATGAAAGGATGGAGATGACTATTCTGTGGCTGTTTATGATGGTTCCTTTTTAATGACCCCAAAATAGAACATTTAGCTTAATGAATTAAATCCAAACAAACAAATAATCTTTGTGGAAAATTTATTTTTCTCTCACCACTGAAGGTGTGGGGTGTTTTGGTTTTTTTTCTTTCCCCCTTGGTCTAACATCCCTGATCTTATATTGAATCATGTAGTGTTTTCTGGGAAAACTCTGTTCTTTCAAGCTTATCTGCTCCTAAAGCTTTGTAGTTTTTCAGTCTTTCTGCAATAAGAGGAGTAGTAGGAAGGAGACTTGCCATGTAAAGATACTTTTTTTTTTTTTAATGAGTGTGCCACTGAAAACTTTCTGCAAGAACTTACTGCAGAAAATGAAAAACCCCAGTAATCACCAGTTAAACTGGTACTGTCAGTGCAGTCAGTGTGAAATTAAATGTTTTTTTTTAGCAAGATGGTAAGAGCATTATTATTTTCTTACCACACTTTAAGGTACATATTTTGGGCTCTTTAAATGTATTTTTTGGTATTTTAAATTTTTAACAGGTGTGTCATTAAACTTTCTCCCCTTTTCTTTTCTCCTTACTAGGAACAAGATCAGTCTCCTCCTTTGAATACACCTAAATCAGAAGTGCCATCATTTATTGCAAGTAAAGTATCTCAGTACTCATGTCAAAGGAAGACAACTTTAGATAACTACAACAAGAAATTCACGGTAATACTTATTCTGTCCATGAGATAAAAACTAGAACAAGTAAAATAGTACAGTACTTGCATTAATATTTTCTGTGGCACCCTCAGCAAATTCATGAGTTAAACATGCAGAACAATGATAAAAAAATTTTAAAGTTATAGATCTGTCATATTTAAATTGAAAATGAGTGCAAGCTTAATTGCATCCTTTAAGTAATGTTGAAAACTTGACACAGTGGATTTTCAAATACACTAATAGCTTGTAAACACATGAATTTTTAAAACAAATGTTAAAATAACATTCTGCCAATGTCTTTTTTTTTTTTTTCATCACAGTCTTATTTGACAAGTTTGAAGTAATGATAAGCAAAAGTTTTGTTTAGGTGACTCCAAGGTACTTCACAATTGCTGTGCTGCCTTCCCATTTGCTCAGGTGTTTGATTCTTCAAAGTGTGGTTGTAAGTTTCAGATTTTTGCAATTGCTTAGTTATCATGAGGGTTGTTTTGTCATGTTAAAGTCATTAAGCTGTGTAGTTAAATAGAAAGCTTAGAGATGTCATATATCCTATTTAATGCTCATAACATTACTCAGTTCAGTGGGTATGAAAAGCCTGAGTCATCTGGGCTAAATTCCTCTTAAGTTACCGTGCTTAATGGCTCCTCTTGGCTGGCTGTAGATACTCAGTGACAACTATTCAATAGGAAACATTTGACACAGACTCCAGTGTAGTATAATCTGAATAAATCTGGCACAGTTACATTAATATCTTTCAATTACAACATGAAACACCTTCTCATCTTTTTAAGTTTTACTATTATGTTATTATAGTTTTTATATTTTTGCTTTGTGTGTGTGGCTATAAATACACACAAATCTCAAGTAAATATTATTTGTAAGATCCATATAAAAAGAATAACAACAAATAGCAGTAATTCGAGAATAAAAAATATTTACAAGGTAAATACTAAAACCTCTGGGAATTCAGAACTAAAGATAAACCTAAGAGCAACTCTAAAATGTCTTGAAATAGGAATGCACAGTTAAAAATTAAGCAATCTAAATTTTGCCTTGTAGTGATGCTTTGAAATAATCATCAATTATACTAATTACATAATAATGTTTATGGTATTCAAGTAGGTCAAACTCTTTGCTTATTTAAAAGAATTTCCCTTTTTGAGCATCCTGATGGAAATTAAGTTTTACCCCTACTCTGAACCTGAGGTTGGACTAGAGACCCCCTGAAGTCCCTTCCAGCCCGAGTGATTCCAACATTCTTAAAACTGCTTTCTTTGGAATACCTGCGATGCCCCACGTCCTGCTAGAAAAACAAGGCTGTGAATGTTTTTGTTTAACCTCTGGAAAGCAGTCATTCTTTTTCACTGTTTACAAATATCACATTCATGCTACTGTAGGGGAAGATATCAGATCAAATAGCATCACCCAAAGGTTCTGTAAAATACTGGTTGTCTTGGAGAAACAGGAGATGCCTTAGTTCTACTCTTCCTGAAAACTGTGGAATATGTGTGTCTGGTTCTTTCTTAAATTTTCTGTAGTAAAACATTTTGTCAGTCATTCTGAAGGTAAAAAATTAAAAGTAATTGTGATAGATAATTGCAAATTACAATGGTTACTCCTAGACAACACAAAGTTGTTGATTTTTAATTGTCCTTAACATTTTGAGCACAAAAAAGTCTAGAATAAGGTATTTTCCTTTTTAATTATACCTTTTAAGATTATTTTTAATGTTTTTAAACATTTAATAACTATATTGTTAAACTCTCACAGTGTTTTTTCATTTTCAGAGACTTGATGCTATAACTATAACAATAGCAAATATATTGTCTGTATCCTAGTGGTTGAATTCCTGAATTTAGTCCACGATTCAGTTCAGATGAAAACTATGGTAGCAGCAACGTATTAATTGAGTGGTTTGTTATACCTGTGTTTCACAGATAGGCAGTCCCTAAATTACTTCCATGTTTATCATAGCAGCAGTCTTAATGTCAGAGTACAACTTGTATTTGATAAATTAATTTAGCTGAACGCACTAGAAGCATGGCTGTTTGATGACTGAAGCACTGATTCCTTCTGTTATCCTATATATGAAACATTTCTGAGTACGGGTAGAAATTAGGTTTTGTAGTGATAAAGATGACAGTTTTTCATCCTTGTAATTTGAGAATACCTGTTCTGAGTTCATGCTGTATTTTATTTCTGGAGGTAGTACTGGTCAAGCTGGTAATGTGTATGATCCTGTCTAGCACCTACACTTTGACAGCTGTAATGTAACTGCTTAGGGCTGTTGCTCTTTTTCCTCACAATCAAAGTTTGCAATGACAGCTGAAGGCTTGGGTGTTTATGGACTGCAAGAGCTGGCTCATTCCCTGGAGGCCTGCCAGTTAGTCTGCCTAATGTCACAGGAGCCTGATTTTCAGTTTTGCTGTTGTTTCCTTGGTCTTGTATTAAACCTGTAATTCACGTTCTCAAATAAAAGTGTTCCAACATTTTTCAGTGTGAGCACTTAGCAAATGCACTGAAGCATTGGTATAATTCACTTGTGCCTGCTGTGGGCAGCCAACCATTAAATGACAGATTTTCCCTGGCTCAATGCCGTACATCCTGAAAATTAGGTCCAAACCATCTTGAATTATGTGTTGATGATAGTATTTTGTTATAACAACTTCATTCTGTGAGCCAGGGTGGGCCTTTTTCTTACGGATTTTCTGTTTTCTTTGGTTAGCTTGGAAATAATGTTTTTCATTCTCTCCTATAACAGGGGTGCAAAGTGATTATTTGCTCATGCATCATTGGATGAACGCATGGTTATTCCTTTTAGTGGACTTTTCCCTGATACCCTGTATCAAATTCCTCTTTCAGATGAGTAGTAGTTAAGTTTGAGAGAGTGGTAGTTACATCTGGCATCTTTTTGTCTCTTCTGAAGAACACAGAAACGTTTGCTAATAGTCAGTGGTGTGTGTACAACAAGGCTTGGAATGTGCTGATTTCTTGGGAGAGACACTTTTGGAGACTTGATTTCTGTAGAAATTGGTAATTGCATGACTTGGCAATATGCACTTGTAGCCCAGAAAGCTAACCATATCCTGGGCTGCATCAAAAGCAGCATGACCAGTAAGTAGGTCGAGGGAGGTGATTCTCACCCTCTACTCTGACCCGGTGAGACCCCACCTGGAGTACTGCATCCAGCCCTGGGTTGGAACTAGATGGTCTTTAAGTTCCCTTCCAACGCAAACCATTCTATGATTAGTGATCAGTTTTAATCTTGAGTCCTGTTCCACACATATTTTTCCGTGAAAGACCATTTATTAAAACCAAATAGCAGAGATACCTGATGACAGCTCATGAGGATAGTATGGTGGTTTAGCACAATAGATACAATTTCTGTGTTCAACGGTTGCATGTTTCCTTTCTGTTGTAATAGCCAGAAAATAACTTACAGAAAGGTCAACAAAACAGTTTTGCATCATGGAAGGGTTGGCAAAGATTATGCAGATGTGGAGATTACATGAATAGGTTCAGTGTGGGACAAACCCTACCCAATTACTTTTTTATAAGCTGTTGAGGAGTAGCAAGGTCTGTCGTGTGGAAAATACACTAAGTATGTCAAATTGGACGCCAAGGAAGAGACAGTGGCATTGTGTGGCAGTTCATGAAGGAGAAATGCAACCACATCAGATTTGTTGGGCCTCGCACCGTCCTTGGGTCACTGTGCGTCACGTACTGTGGCCTCGTGGTACGTAGGTTGGGAACCACTGCCATGGGCTTCACTGGTGTGCGTGATCCAGCAATGCACCTGAATGCATAGCCCTGACTCCACAGGTGAACTGTAGCTGTTCAGATGGGTAAAGGTTCAAAACAAAAGGGGAAATCCTTTCACCAGAGGCTGGACGTTAGCATGATTCCTTTATGTTTGCCTTAAACATTAATGTTATTACGGAATATGATATTACAGTATTGTTCTCTGGCAAATTTGTAAATAGCCAGCCATCCTCCCCCTCTACGACTGAAAATATACACTTGGGAAGTGCATTGTGTTTTCATGTGGTAAAACAAATGGAGCCATTCTGCTGTGCCCGAGAGGGGTTGTTGGATTTGAATATTAATACCAGACTGCAATAAAATTCAGAAAGACATTCTTCTGTGAGGAAAATACAATTTAATTCTCACAGAAGAAACTAATTAAGTTGGAGGCAAATGATTCTGTGATTCTGAGGCTTATTGCTAATGCTACTGAATGTTACTTTGCTTTGGCTGTTACTCATGGTAATGAGAATGCAGATATTTAGCATAGGAAAGATGCCTTGTTTCCTTCCCACTCTGTTAGAGGGGAAAAAAATACCTTTTTAAACTTCTTTTGTACCTACAGAAACATTTATCAGTTATGCCAGTGGTTCACACATTTATTATTATTCCATTTCAAAACAGACCTCAGGAGAACCTCAGCTTTAATTTCGTAATGAACTTGGAAACTCTATAGGTAGGAAACCACTAAAAGCATACCCTTAATAACATGTACTGTCTTACTGGCATAGCTTACTTCAGTAAAAATTCTCCAGACAGAAAATCAAAATTACAAATTTTGTAAACATATGTGAAGTATATTCCTATCCAAAATGAACTAGTGCTTTGGTCTAAAGAAGAAATATCTTGTTTTTAAGGTAAGTGGAAGGGTGCTTCCTAAAATAGAGACAGAATATAAGTACACCTGTACCTTTTAGCAACCTAAATTTGTATGTATGCATCAAGTCTATGCGGCTTTCTTTGACCATATTAGTATGCATAATATACATTTAGCATTTAATATTTCTTACTATACTGTGAATGTTTATCTAGGACAGTGTTAAGTGATTGACGCTCTAACTGCATTTTTGTGCTCTGTCAGGACAAAATGTCCTGCTTTCTTTCAAATTATGTGGAAAATATGGAAACTTTTCAAGAGTACCACTATTTTCTGTTGTAAGAAATGAACCTGTTATTGGTTAATATGAGGAGCAGCTGGAGGT